TACTTTTCGTAGAAAAATATATATATATATATATAAATATTATATATATATATATTTTGAAATCTTATATCTTATATAAATATATCTATATATGTATAAATTTATATATATATTTATATATATATATATATTATATATATATGTATATATATGTATGTATATATATATATATATATATATATATATATATATATATATATATATATATATATATATATATATATTATGTATATATATATATATATATATATATATATATATATATATATATATATATATATATATATATATATACAATAAATAATATATATATATATATATATATATATATATATAGATAATTAATGAAGGTTAAAAAATACAGGAAAAGTTACCCTAGAATTTCTAAGAAGCAATTGTTCAGTGCAATAGAACTTATTCCAATTGTGATGCAATAGAAAATTTTTTTTTAAAAAGTTATTAAAAAACTACAACAGGAAAAGTTAAATAAGCTAATGTTTAAAGTTATATTAATAAGCTCTTGTTTAAAAGTATATTAATAAACTCATGTTTAAAAGTATGTTAATTAAAAGTATATTAAAAACCTCATGTTTAAAAGTATACTAATAGCCTTATGTTGAGGTAAAATAATATATTTTGTAGATTTTAACTGTTGAAATGAGCACCTGCATCTTGTTTTTTTTCATGAAAAAGAACAAGGTATACCAAAGACTCAAATTTGTATGAAACATCACTGATGATGTCATACTTTGATAGAGATAGCTTAAGATTTAAGTGTAAAAGTAATAAAAAGGTATTACTGCTTATGGAGGAAACTGTTACGTCAGATAAAAATATATCATAATAGCAAATTATATTAGCACAGTCTAGACTGCAAATATTTAAATTACATATTACTAAATTAAGTATTAAACTACTTATTACTAAATTGCAATTATTAAATAAGCAGTATTAGATTTACAAACTTGTTACACAGAAGTTTTTTTCTATATTTTAGATGACTCAAAATATATCTAGTTTGACAAAGTTAAAACTTGCACAATGTCTCGCTGAAATCTGGAAAGAGTTTGCAGAAGAAATCCCTTTACCAAAATATAAGATAGCTTCTATTGAACAAGAACAAAAACTGTTAGTAGAAAGAGCTCATCGTGTACTTACTTTTTGGTACCAATCTGATCCTGATGCATTTAATGAAAACAACATAAAAATGAAGTTAAAAAGTTTAAAGCGGAATGATATAATTAGAGCTGTGTTTGGAGAAGGTTAGTATGTATAAATCATATGAAAAATATTTTTACTATCATTATGAGCAGAAGCTTGTGAATAACAAAGTTTTGGTTTTAGGGATATGAAAAATTAAAAAAATTTAACAGTAAATAAATACATTGATAATTAAATAATTAAGTTTAAGTTTAATTAGAAAAATTCACAAAGATTTTATAGTCTTTAGTTAATCTTGCTGTAATGATTGCGATTTTTAAATGAGCGAAACCAGAGAGCTAATTTTTCAAACAATTCTTTTACAAACTTTTTGCATATTTTTACAAAAAGCTAACTAAATTTACATTTTAAAATACATTTAGAAGTTTTTGTATAGTGTATAGAAAAATATTGATACCGTAAACTGGGGTATCAATATTTTACGGTATAAATATATACTTTAAGCATTTTTGAGACATTTTTGCTTGCTCTTCCTTCGCTATTGATAATATTTGAAATTTAACAAAATGAATATAGGAGCTAAGATTGACTCTTACATAGTTCAAATTCATAGTTCAAAATGATATATAAATAAAGGGACTTTGTATGATATTAATTTAAATAGTCATTTAAAGTTACCCCACAAATGGCATGCTTGGACAGGAATGGCATGCGATCGCACTCTGTAACTGACCACACTAATAGTTTTTTTTCTTTACAACTTGACCACGGCTATTTTGATATTTTAACATTTTAAATGCAATCAAAAGTGTTAGATTATGAATAACTTTCAATCGCTTATTTTTTCTAAAGTTTTTATTTTATGCAAAGGCTTTAAAATAAAACCATATAATTAACTATTTTAATGATTGTTTACATAGATGTTTTAATAATTTACATGTGTAAATTATTAAAAAATGTTATATTTAATTTTTTTTATGTAGGCATGTATTTTTCATGATAAATTTAAACATTTGAAACTATTTTCCCATATCTTACTAAAAAGCTTTTAAAGCATTAATTCTAGAAAGATTTTTTTTTAAGTTACTTTAATTTATGAATAAATTCAAAACTATTTGCGACTACTAGCTTTTACACATTTTATGTGAATTATACAAGAATATAAGATATTTTTATTTACTTATATAAGCATGTATTTTGTTGATTAATGGTAAAGTTTTAAAGCATTTTGTAATGTTCATACGATTCATTTTTATATTATTATTTTTATTGTATTAGAGCATTTCCAAAAAATCACGCACGGAATCTCGTATATGTTTTACTTTTATTTTCATAAAAATAAAAATAGCGATCTCCAATTTACTCTCATTTAATTCTAATCAATATAAATATTTTTTAAACAATAAATAGTAAGCATTAGTAATGTTAACAAAGAATAAATAATGGAATTATGGAATAAGAATAAATGGAATCATGCAAGGAACAGAAAAACTTCTATTTTAGTAACTAGATAAATAAACTTTAATTTCTCGGACAGTATAAGTTTCACCAGTATACTTTTTTTTTTAAATAATATTTTAAACAGTGAAGATTTCCAGAAAGTTACAGGATTGCACTATGAATCATAGAGTCACTATCAATCTAGAGTATGGCGTTTTGAAAATTATTGTATATTTTTCAAAATATAGCGATATTATTACTCAAAAAAATAAAATTGTAAAAATGTGAATATTTAATTTATTCAGCCTAAAATATGATAAAAATATTTTTGTTATAATTGTTCTTTAAGAAAATCAAAATAGTATGCATATTGCATAAAGTCCCAGCTTTTAATTGCTAAAACAAAGAAAAATAAAAAATCACGAACAGAAATGGAAATGACCATTATATTTTTATATTGAACTTACGATGACTTTACATAACGTGAAGTAACTTTATGTGAAGCGTTAGTAATAAAGTTGTAATGCTCAAATTAAAATTAAATTAAATTGCTTGTTGGCAGTTTATTTAATTCGCAGACGCATTTTATTTAATTATTTTTTTCCTATTTTTACGAATAAAAGAGTTGAAAATCTTTTTTAAAATTAGACATTAATTAGAGCATGAAATTATTAAAAATTACTATTTTAAAAAAACTACATTATTTTTTTAAACAATTTTTTTGCGCAACTTTTATGATAATTGAATAATATTTTTAAATTGTATGAAATAAATGTTTACACAATTTAAAAATATTAAATACAACACTTTAATAAATTTGTAAAATTTGTTCATTTATTAAACAATCATTAATAGCAATCAGGGCCGATGACACGGATTTTGGTTTTGAAGTGGGAGGGGGGGGGCACAATCATCAATTTGTGAAACAATTCCTCCAAATCAAGATTTTTCTTTAAAAAAAAAAAAAAGTTAAAAAAAAAAAAGTGCCCCCTGGCACCCCTGGTGTTGTTGGTCCTGGTAATTTGTTACTTCAAAAGCGTTTTGCGTAACTTTATTAAAACATTTAAAAAGATTTATTTCAAACGTAATTAAAAACGTAACAATTAGTTTTGCTTCGAGTTTAAGTTTTTATTTTAGTGCTTATCTAATTTTTTTTCATAAAGAATTTTTTTTTGTTTTTTTTTTCCTTAGGAGTTTAGTTTTTTTTCGTTAGTTTTTTTTAAACTTTTTTCCATGTTTAAGTTTAACTTAGCGTTTCTACATTTAGCGCGTTTCTGAAATGTTTAAATCATCAAAACATATAAACAATCGTGGTCAAGTTGTCAAGAAATAAAATCATTTGCGTGGTCAGCAATAGCACTCAATCGCACGTCATTCATGTCCAAGCCTGAAATTGGGTAACTTTGGATGCATTTTTTGTAAAAGTAAAACCTATGCAAAATCTCCTTTTTTTTGTTTATAAAATTTAATAAAAACAACAGTCTAGAGTCACAGTAGTTTATTATTGTTAAAATAGTATAATATTATTCATAACAAACACCTATTTAGTATTTTATTTTGTTTAAATGGGTATGTTTTAAGTGGACTAGCATAAAAAAAGTCTCATTTACATCAGTTTCACTTACAGACTATGCAAGTGGAACATCTTTACATTTTGCCAAAAAATCCTTAAAAATATGTTTAATAAGGTCAAAAGTAATTTTTTTTTTCCTTTGAGTCTGCTTATTCCTTGACATCAACATGGAAAAATTATTAAAGTACATTAACTACTACTCGACATACTAAAGTTACAACTACCATCTGACAAATGATTAAAAATGATACTTATATCTAATGGATAAATTCCATATTTCTTTCAAATCCACTAAGCTACTAAGTTGCTGATTACCTTTTGATTTGACAAATATAATAATTATAAGTAAATAAAGAACAAAGGAGATTTATTTTTTGTAATTGTCTGTGCTTTTTTTAAACAAGAGATTTTCAATTGATCATGTTTTTCCCTCCAATGTTTTTTATGAGATCCATAAAATGCTACATCAAGAGATAGTAATAAATGGGTAGAGTTACCAGTTATAGAACAAGATACTATTTTCTTCTTAACAAGATACTATTTTCTTTTGTAAATTCAATTACCTTTTACTATAAAGGTGATAAAGGTGTACTGAAACAAATATCTTTTTGTTTTATATCAGACGACATTATACATACTGTAATTTATATGTAAAAAATAATTCAACTAATCATACCAATCTTAAAAACAAAATTTACCAATCTGTCCAAATTACATTTATTCATTGGTTGTTACGCAGAACAGTACAAAAATTATAAAAGCTTTTACAATCTATGGCAACTAGAGAGAAAATTTGCTCTTAAAGTTGAATGGAACTTTTTTGCCACGTCCTACGGAAAGTTACTATGTGATGCCACGTCCTACGGAAAGTTACTATGTGATGCCACGTCCTACGGAAAGTTACTATGTGATGCCACGTCCTACGGAAAGTTACTATGTGATGCCACGTCCTACGGAAAGTTACTATGTGATGGGATTGACTGTAAAAAGGTAAACAGCGCAAAAAAGTTTAAAACTCATACAGAAACCAAATTCTCACATCAGAAACTATGTATGAATTTTGTATTGAGAAAATCAAGGTTGTTAATTTCATTTACATAAAGGGAATGGACTTATGTAAATGGAATAGCAAAAAGAAAGATACACTGGTGAAACAACTCTACCTGGTACTCGTAGCTTTCATCAATTTATACATTTTGGAGATATCAGGGTTGGGGCAAAGAGGTGTAGTACAGACACTAATTATACAATAATCTACAATCTTAAAAAGAAACAAGATATATTTCAACTTAATACTGTCACTTTAGGAGGTTATGTAGCTGTAGTCTATGATGATAATTGGTGGATCAGCATTGTAACTGAATTCAACCTAGAAGTTGATGCAAAAGTCAAGTTTCTTCACCCAAAAGGTCCATGAATCTGTTTTAACTTGAAAGAGGTGAATACTGTTTTATTTCCAACACCAACATATTGAAAAAACTATCTGTTCCACAAGCTTGCTCTAGTTCTGTTTGAAATTATGTGTTTAAAAATGCTGAAATTGAAAAAGTATAATTAAAATGGAAACAATTTGTGAACTATTACAAACACAGTAAAAATAACTACATGTTGGTTATTTCTACCTTTAAAAAGTCTTGTATATTTAAGTATTTTTTTAAATTACGATTCACTTATTTTTATTTTATATACGAATATTTTTGGGGAGTTTCTTGAAAAAGTAATACATCTTTGAAATCAAACTTCCATATATTTCAATTGTTTTTCCATTTAGATATTTTGTTCCTAGTAAGATTATAAACGCTGAAAATATTAACAGTAAAAAAAAAAAAAAAATTTGACGGGGGTGTTTTGAGATATTGTGCCCCAAAGTTGGTTTATAGAAACTAGTTTTATTAACTTATAAGCATGTTTCTTTTATATTTCAGCATATTAAGTACATTTATTGAATTCGGCATCAAAAAAACATTATATATGTTTATTGTCATGTTTTTGCCATTTTTATTTTTTATTTTTTTAAGAAAAATAGTTTTTTTAGAATGTTATGAAAACTGGGTCATTTTGGTTGATGTTAAAATGGCAGTTTCTCAT